TTGTTATGAGTCGGTTCCGACTCGATGGCACCTGAAAACAACATGGGGGTCATTAAGGAATTTTAATGAGGTAGACTTTGAATCATATTTTTAGAAAGATCACAATGATCCTGGTCTAGAGAATGAACTAAAGGTAGAGCAAGGTTAGAGACTTTAAGCCAAGTTAGGAGATGACAGAGGTAAGTATAGTTCAATTAGATAGGATAAATTTGAAGAATACGAAGGATTTCAAATCAACAAGTTTTGAAGAACTTACTGATGAAAATCAAAGAATACAGCCTTCAGTATGGATTACAACTCAATGTAAAGAAAACAAAAATCCTTATAACTGGACCAATAAATAACATGAGAAATGGAGAAAGAAGTCCTGGTGTGGTGCTGTGAGTTAATGCACTAGACTGCAAAGTTGGTTTGATCTGCAAGGTCAGCAGTTCAAGTTCACCAGCTGCTCCTCGGAAACCCTATACAGAGTCACTATGGGTCGGAACCGACTCAACGGCACTTAACAACAACAAATGAATAAAAGATTGAAGTTATCAAGGATTTCATTTTACTTGAATCAACAATCAATGCTCATGGAAGCAACAATGAAGAAATCAAATGCTCTATTGTATGTAGGGTACATCTGCTGCAGAAGACCTCTTTAAAGTGTTAAAGTAACAAAGTCAACTTGAGAACTAAGATGCTCCTGACCCAAGCCATGGCCTGTTCTGTTGCCCCATATGCGTGTGAAACTACTTAATGAATAAGGTAGATTAAAGAATTGATGTGCTTTAATTATGGTTTTGGCAAAGAATATTGAAATGACCACAGACTCCCTGGAGAACAAATGAATCTCTGTTGGAAGTACAGCCAGAATGCTACTTAGAAGCAAGGATGTGAGACTTCATCTCATGTACTTTGGACATGTTCTCAGGAGGGACCAGTCCCTAGACGAGGATATCATGTTGGTAAAGTGGAGGGTCAGCAAAAAAGAAGACCCTCAACGAGATGGATTGACACAATGGCAGCAACAATCTGCTCAAATATAACAACTGTGAGGATGGTGCAGGACTGGGCAGTGTTTCATTCTCTTGTACTTTGGGTCATTATGAGTCGGAACTGATTCTTTGGCACCTAACAACAATTCTTTCTCCATTAAAATTTGGGATGGCGACTTCTATATAGTTTAGTTGCTAAAGCATGGATTTTATTAGGAAGAAACTTTGATTTTCTATAATCATTGATACTTTTTGCCCCATAGAGAGGTGACAAAGCTGATTTAATATTTTAACTTCTCAAAATGTCAAATTATTATCAAGTTGAAACATGTGGTACAATCTCTGTTGTATCAGCCCACATATCATGTACTTTAGAGTCTTTTCAATATTTTACTAAACTATGACCTAAAGATGAGTTGACAGTTATATGAAATATAATTTTTAGTCAACATAAAACTTTGCTGTTAAATATGCCTATTTTGTGTATTCTATCAAGTTAACTACAATATTCACTGCAGCATTTGCTACTGCATCATACTTCTGTATAATTTATTTTCCTTAAGCATTAGAAATATATATTTGTGTTGTGGTGGTTGTGGTTAAGTGCCATCGAGTTGGTTCTGACTCATAATGACCCTGTATAGGATTTCCAAGGAGAAGCTGGTGAGTTTGAACCGCCGACCTTGTGATTCAGACCAAACGTGAGGTCAAGTGCTTATCCTATGGCACTACACCAGGACTCCTCTCTTGTTCTAGGCCACATTCAAAACTCGTAGCTTTTGAGTCACTTGATGAATAAGCTGGCGCACACACATGAGAGAGAAGTTGCCTCCAAGAATCGAAACCCACCAAACATTGTGCCTCTTTTTCAGTGTGGGAGAGACAGATGCTATAACTTGTCGTTCACTTTAATAAAAATATCTCAACTTACCCCATACCAGTGAGCCTCTAGAAACTTCACTAAAGTGGAAGGCACCTGAATTTTTATTGGGTTATTTTCCCACTCTCTCATATGCCGGTTTTTACCAAGAATGTCATCAATGAGCCAGTGTGATGTCTTGTGGGAGGAAAGGTGATCAAGTTCCCTGAGGACGAAATTATGACAATGCTGGAGAGTTGATGTACTACTTGAATTATTAGGCATCTACAATAGTAACTAATTAGAAATAAGTAAGTTTTCATTGTTTTATTTTCTCTATCTGATGTGGCACTGTAGGATAAATATTGGACTGTTAACTGAAAGGTTGGCTGTTCAAACCCACCTCCCACCCACCCCCACTCCTCAGAAACCCCATACAGGTTTGCTGTGAGTCTGAACTGACTTGATAGCACTTAACAATATGTATAAGTAAGGGAGTCCTGGTGATGTACTGGGTTAAGTATCAAACTGCTAACTGTTAATGTCAGTGGTTCAAACCCACCAGCTGCTCAACAAGAGAGAGATCTCTGAGGCTGTCTGCTTCCGTAAAGATTTATATTCTCAGAAACCCTGCAGATAGTTCACCATGAGTCAGAACCAACTTGATGGAAGTGGAGAAACGTATAAATATGAGGGGCATCTAAGAGTTTTGTGGAAAAATCCCTTTGTCTTTTTTTTCATTTTCCACCTGGTGGCACAGTGGTGACATGCTCATCTACTAATTGAAAGGTCAGTGGTTCAAGCACACCAGCTGCTCTGTGGGAGAAAGATGTGGCAGTCTGTTTCTGTAAAGGGTACAGCCATGGAAACCCTGTAGGACAGGACAGTCCACCTCTGTCCTATAAGGTCACTGTGAGTTGGAATCAACTTGATGACAGTGGGTTTGGTTTCTGGTTTTATGTAGAAATAATTCTGTAGCTAATAAAAATGAAAAATGTTGAAAGAATGTCAGAAATTACATTTTGAAATAAAAGACATTTTAATATTATTTAAAAACTGTTACTGTAAATAAAGAATTCTTGACTATGTGCCCTGTAAATATTTTGCCTCTTTGTAGACTCGAAGCAGAAATAGAAGACGCACGGTTAAAAGCAAAGGAAGAGATGATGCAGGGAATCCAAATTGCAAAAGAAATGGCTCAGCAAGAGCTTTCTTCTCAAAAAGCTGCTTATGAAAGCAAAATAAAAGCACTGGAAGCAGAACTGGTAAAAGGCAGAATTGGTTTATTCTTTCTGATAGTGTACCCAGCTAATGTGTCGCTGGCTATAAAATTTTGTCCCTTCAAGGGAGCGAGGGGTATAGTCAAATTCGCAGTGAGTTTTGTCCTTTAATTTTATTCGAGGAAGCAACTTATTATTAGACAATAACTACTTGAAAGAAAAGGTAGGTAGAGAAACTTCTGTCCTCTGGACTGTAGAGCCCTGACTCTGCCCTGGCTTGCCAGCAGCCTTGCAGTCCCAGAAGCCCCTGTACTGAAAGTTCTATATAAGGTTAACTAGTGCCTATTATCAAAGTGGCGTAAAGATGCTAGCGGCACATTTCTCAGTAGTGCATTGATTAAACAAAGGTACTTTTGGGTACCACTTTGAAGAAATTTTTTGCATTTTTTTGCCTGAGTTATTTTACTTACTATTGCTCTTTAAAGGAAGAAGCATCTCAAAGGAAGAAAATGCAGGAAATCAATAACCAAAAGGCTAATCACAAAATTGAGGAATTAGAAAAGGCAAAGCAGCACCTTGAACAGGAAATATATGTAAACAAGAAGCGATTAGAAATGGAGACTTTGGCTACAAAACAGGTAATTTCATTTTATAGGTAATTTGCTCTATTCTTAGGAAAAACTGGATTTAAACATTGCTGTTTCCTTTGTAAACTTATGATACCTTGATAGGAGATAGCCGAATCTAGAACTCTTGATGAGAACATACCTTCTTACCTAAAAACTTGTTGGTCTACTCTAAGACTTCATTGTGCTCATGAGGAATCTGTACCTGGACCGAGAGGCAGTTGTTTGAACAGAACATGAGAACACTGAATGGTTTAAAATTAAGAAAGGTGTGTGACAAGGTTGTATTCTTTCTCCATACTTACTCTACCTGTATGCGGAGCAAATAATCCAAGAAGCTGGATTATACGAAGAAAAATGTGGCATCAGGATTGGAGGAAGACTCATTAGCAACCTGCAATAAGCAGATGATACAACCTTGCTTGCTGAAGGTGAAGAGGACTTAAAACATTTACTAATGAAGATCAAAGAGCACAGCCTTCGGTATGGATTGCATCTCAATGTCAAGAAAACAAAAATCCTCACCCTGGAACAATAAACAACATTCTTATTAACGGAGAAAAGTTTGAAGTTCAGTCTTCTTGGATCAACTATCAACACACACGGAAGCAGGAGTCAAGAAATCAGACGACATGTTGCATTAGGCAAATCTGCTGCACAAGAGCTTTTTAAAGTGTTGAAGAGCAAAGATGTTAGCTTAAGGACTAAGGTGCACCTGACCCATGCCATGGCATTTTCAATAACCTCATATGCATGCGAAAGCTGGACAGTGAATAATGAAGACCCTAGAAGAATTGATGCTTTTGAGTTATGGTGTTGGAGGAGAATATTGAAAGTGCCATGGTCTGCCAAAAGAACCAATAGATCCGTTTTGGACGAAGTACAGCCAGAGTGCTCCTTGGAGGCCAGAATGGCCAAACTTCGTCTCTTATACTTTGGGCATATTGTCAGGAGGGACTAGTCACTGGAGAATGATATCATGTTTGGTAAGGTGGAGGGTCAGAGAAAAAGAGAAGGACTCCCAGCGTGATGGATTGGCCAAGTGGCAGCATTGATGGACTCAAGCATGGCAACAGTAGTGAGGTTGGCCCAGGATTGGACAGTGTTTAGTTCTACTGTGCATAAGGTCACTATGAGTCAGTGCCAACGTGATGGCACCTAACAACAACAACTACGAGACTTATTAGCATCAAACTAGGGTTATTTTTGTCTGTTAAAATTGTGTACTTATCAAAAGGTGTTCTTCATTATAGTATTTTATGAGCAGTTTTTTTCTTTTTCTCTTAAGGTTTTTTTTTAATTTCCTGTTAATGGGAGGAAAAAGACTGTTATATAAAATTCCTAATGACTTTATTATAGGGAAAGTTATTTTACAAAGAAATCTTCTGTTATTTAAAAAATCTTTTACATTTAATGAGCAGATTGTAAAAAGATGTTTAATTATAATGTGTTACCATTATAAGATTAGTTTCAGAACACCTTTCTTTGAAAGCATTCTCTTATATGGATCTATATGCTTAAATATCATTTAGGCTTTAGAAGACCACAGCATCCGCCATGCACGATTTCTCGAAGCATTAGAAACTGAAAAGCAAAAAATTGCTAAAGAAGTACAAATTCTACAGCAGAATCGGAATAAGCGGGATAAAAATTTTAGAAGTAGGTAAAATACTGTTTTAGTGGCATTTTCTAAAGTCATCATGCTATTTTACATACTATGATTACTGCGGTGATAGTTTAGTTGCTTTTGTATATTCAAAATGCTTTATTGTAGATGCTATGGGATTTAAATAAATGTATATGAGTGACTGTTTAGTGACATTTAGTTGTTAGACTATTTAGTTGCATAAGTAAAATAGAAAATTCCTTATTTTATTATTTTAACATGTAACATGCTTTAGAAATGATTTTTCGTTTCAGTCCTTATATCTAAGTTGCACTTTATCACTGTGTCATTTGTTTCCTTTTTCACTGGGAATTTTACAAATGTCTTCACATCTCTACAAAAGTAGAGATTTCAGTTCAATAAACCAACATCAGCAGTTATCAATATATCTTCAATCTTATTTCAGCTTTATCAACACCCTCTACCTTCTTCTGCTATTTTGAAGCAAATCCTAATCTGTGTCTTTACTGTGTCTCTTTAGAGAAGACACTTTCTTTCCTCTTATTCTTCTAATCATAACCATATTGTTAACCTGAAATTAATAATGAAAGCACTGGACTGCCAGGTTAGTTTGTACCACAAGGTCAGTGGTTCAAATATAGCAGCTGCCCTCAGAAACCCTTATAGAGCATTGCTGTGAGTCAAAACAACTCAATGACACTTAACATACTTATTAAAATATCTAGTCTTTATTCACATCTGAATTATTTTATAATTTTTTCTTTTTCACCTTTGGTTTGATTGAATCAGTGTCCACACATCGCATTTCATAGATATATTTCTGAAAAAATATTGTACCAACCATTCTTCCCACAACCCTCTGTTCAGCTGGGTTCAGTAATTCATTGCAGTGACCACACAGAACTCTCATACCATACTTAAATTCATATAGTTAATTAGGGAAGTTAACGGGTTGCAATACAGCATCAGAAAATGCTCAGGGCACAGTTGTTCCAGTCAGTGGCTGATAATGCCCATAGGACTCATCCCTGCACCAAAAGCCTCGGCCTGAAAGCTCTAGCTCAGGCGGTCAGCAAACCTAGCTCCCCCACTGTCGTGCCTGGTGTCAACTCACTCTTCAAGCAAGCTTCCTGCCCAAAGCCCTTCAGCTTTCCTTGCTCCATGGATTGGGAGGTCCACTGCTCTGTCTCGTGCTCTGGTTCTTGTTTCTGCTGTTGTTCCTCCTCTGCTACATCTCCAGTGTTACAGCTTCTGTCCCTGATTTGAGGAGGTTGATTGCGCTGGTATCTCTGACTTCAAAGGACACCCTCCTGCTTGGCTCTTCTTTGATAGCAGCAAGATTCCTTCCATGCTTGCTTCTGAGATGGCTCATTTTATACCCATGCTAGAGTTTCAAGTTTTTACAATTATAATGAACTCTGTTAACATCGCTGCTGAATCATGTCATCCTATCAGTATCTTCTCCCACCTTCTCTTTCCCAGACCCAGCAGGGCTGAAACATTGTTTGGTGGGAGTTACAGACTATGGCTAGAAGAGACGTTAGCTAATTCACTACACCAGTTTCCTAAGTCTCTCTTAATTTGTAAACTCACTCCATTCTCTCGTTTCCTCTTCCCTTATTGTCTCTGCCCCCTTTGTAATTTATATGAAGAATCATGTTGTTTGTCCTGTTGTTGTTAAGTGCAGTAAGCACAGTTTCCCAAATTCTGGATTTTGCTGGTTATATGTCCATAGTGTTGCTTAACAGATTCTTTTGAGTTACAGTGTTTGCTTATAGAAGTAACAGGTTCTTCTGCCCCTGAATTCTCTATAAAACCGTCATTGGATCCACATATCTATCAAAAGCAGATTTAACTTTTTAAATACCTGGCAGTTGCATTATGTACTGTCTATAACTTCTGTTTTTAAAGAGTTTTGAAATTATGAATGTAAATATATTTGTTGGAAGAGATAAGTTAAAGACATTGTATTTATTCTTCTCAAGGTCCAAAACAGTGCCTTGCAGTAAATCCTTGATTTTTTTTTTTAACCATGTGAAGGTGAGATTTATGCTCTAAAGTGTTTTATAGGAGCATTCTGGGTATAAATTTGACTGAACAATACAGAGACTATTTGTGATGAAATCTTAATTTCATATTTGGTAAAAAGAAGTTATGGACTCAATTATTTTTCTATTTTAATTTTGACCAAATAAATCTACATTTAATTTTCAAGCAAAATGAAAAGGAGGTGGTTTCATATAAGTAAGGTTGGAGTTCATTGTTTTTGATTCTTTTAAGAAATGAGAAATTAAGAAATAAGAAAAAAAGAAAAATTTTAAAGAAATAAGAAAGAAAGCATTGCCTTTGATGTTTCCTGTCTTACAAAATCCTTATCCTGTCAGTATCAACTTGCATTTTTTTCCATTTCACCGCAGGTAACAAGCCTCATTTTATGTAAAGATTATTTAATTTCACCGTTGTGGGCTGATAAAAAGTTACTCAAGAATTAAATGTAATTAAAACCATCCATTTAAAATTAATCATTTTTTTCCAGCAGTTGTTCTGTCTAGTGAGGTATGTTCATGCTTATTTGTGTATTTTGAATCTTCTCTGTATTAGTTCAGCCAAATTGGAGTTCCATGAAACTCTCAATGATGATTCAGGAAGCCAATGCCATCAGCAGCAAATTAAGACAATACTATGTTTTTGGCAGGTGAGTAATTAGTGACCCTAATTGTAAAGTGCTGCTTTTATTTTTTACATAGGTGATCTTCATATATGACTTTCTTTATTAAAAAATTAAGTTTCACTAAAGTTAAAGTATTCTGTAGTGTCTGCGTAAGAGCTAATGTCAACGTCTAATGAAACTTTAGGTTCTTCCTTTAGCACTTACTCTGGAGTAAAAGAGATTTTCAACAATGAACATACTCATGTACTTTATAAGCATAATAATTTTAGATGTTTTAAAATTTTAGTAATCTTGTTGTATTGAAAATTTGGTGATCTTTGACTTTTTTAAAGGAATATAAATTACTAGGGCTTTGTTCTTTATTAAAAACTATTTGTATAATGCATTTTTATAGTGTGTACGAAGCATGATTCCTGTTGCTGCTAATTATCATCTAGTTGACTCTGACTCAGGGCGCCCCCCATGTGTGCAGAGTAGAACTGCTCCGTAGGGTTTTCAAGGCAGATCAGGAGGGCTGCCTTCCAAGAAGCCTGTGTTGTTGTTACATGCTGTCAAGTCGGTTCCGACTCATAGCGACCCTCTGTAGAGTTTCCAAAGAGCAGCTGGTGAACTTGCACTTTAAATAACTTTGTAGTCTGGCGTGTTAGCGTGCAGCACCATACCAGAACTGCTGGGCTCACATTGCCAACCTTTCTTCTAGCAGTTGAGTGCTTAACCATTTATACTGTAGCATTATTATCACTGTACTAAAAATAAAAATGCTCAACTATGGAAGGATTTACTCACTGGACTGAATTGGTATCAAACTTACTCTAACCCAGAAAAGTTTCATGATAAATGAGTTTATGTGTGTTTTAGGATGAGCTTTTTTTCCCCTTTCAGACATGATGCATCAGATAATGAAAGCTCTGAAGCTTCTGTTGAAGTTCAAGTTCGTAACCTGAGACTAGGAATCTCAACTTTCTGGAGTCTGGAAAAGTTTGAATCTAAGCTTGCAGCAATGAAAGAACTTTATGAGGTTTGGAATTTTAGTAAAATTTTTCTGAATTTTTAAAATAAAAGATGCAAAAGTGACATTTTCATTAAAACTTCAGAAAATAAAAGGCAATCCATCACATTACCTAAACAATCAATAATTACAATCATGTATGTTTGCTTTAATTTTATATGCAAATGGAGTTTTATTGATTTGTTTCAGCATAGTTGTAACTATAATAGGGAAACTTAAAGCGGCATCTATTTGATTATACATTTTAAAAAATGTATCTTTAAGCTTAAGGTAAGAAGAAATCCAGTAGACGTAAAGCAGTTTATGTCATTTAAAATAAACTTATTGTGCCCAATAATGTGTATTTATACATTTGTATGTATTTTGCATATTTACATTTCCCTGTTACTTTGACATTTTTTTTTAAACACTCAGACATATATAGTAATTTATAACACCAAAGGGCATATTCTACAAGCCTGCCTCCTGGCCGCTATTTCTTAGTCCTTCTTTTCCCATGAAATTAGAGTTCTCAGCCACTAGTCGAGGATAGGTCAAAAAGGTACTGTATGCAAGTTTTGAAAGGTTTCAACAAACTCACTCGTCTATGCCAAGAAGTTTGGAAGGCAGCTACATGGCCAACCGATTGAAAGAAATCCAGTTTTCTGTCCATTCCAAAGAAAGGTGACCCAACAGAATGCAGAAATCATCAAACAATATCACTGTGTTCTATGAAAGTAAAATTTTGCTGAAGATAATTACAAAACTGTTTTAGCTGTACTTCAGTCGGGAGCTTTGAGAAACTTAAGCTGCATTCAGAAGATGCTGTGGAACTAGGGATATGATTGGTGATATCACATGGATCTTGGCTGAAAGCAGAGAATACAGAAAGCAGTTTACTTGTGCTTTATTGATTATAAAGGCATTCAACTATGAGGATCATTAGAAACTATGAATAACATTGCAAAGAACAGGTGTTCCAGAAACACTTCATTGTACTCATGATGAACCAATACATAGACCAAGAGGCAGTTACTAGAGCAGAACAAGGGGATACTGAATAATTTAAAATAAGGAAAGATATGTACTAGGATTGTATTCTTTCACCGTACTTGTTCAGTCTGTTGTTAAAGTGCTGTTGATTTGGTTTCAACTCAGCAATCTTGTGTAGGGTATCCAAGGAGTGGCTGGTGGGTTTCAACCACATACTTGAGGTTAGCAGTCCAATGCTTATGTTATAGAACTACACCAAGACTCCTTGTCTACTTTTCCATAAAATTATAGTATGATGAAGCTTCAAATAGTTTGTGGGAAAATGGCATTAAAGGATAATTGAGATGAAATTATTTGTATGAATTGTTGAAAGTATAACATCTGATCTGTAAACCTTCGCCCAATTCTCAATAAAAAGTTAAAAAAAAAAAAAAGCATATGAAAAAAAGTAATCAGTGTTACTAAATTGTACATGTAGAAACTAAAAAAAAAAAAAAAAGGTAGTGGAATTTTCCACAAACTTTTTGAAGCCCCCTCATACCTCCAAATCAGGCTCAGATCAGTGTGTTTTTACCCAAGAATGAAGTGTTAAAACAGTGTATTTTTAGAACTTTAAATGGCATGAGTTTAAATATTTGGATTAGAATAGAGATTTTGATGGTTAATATATTTGATCAGGCAATTATTTCTTCTTAACATTTAATTTAAATTTAATTTTTCTCCTTAGGATTTTATTTTTTGTTTTTATTATGTCTCCTAAATGCAAAATTTATTATATCTGAATTATTTAATGAACTTAGTTGCTCTTATTAGCAGAAATCTTTTTTGCTATTTAAACATTTTTATTGTTGCTGTTGAAACTATATAGAGCAAAATATACACCAATTCAAGTTTCTACATAGACAGTTCTATGAGACTGATTGCCTACTGCAAATTCTGCTACCATTCTCACCTCCTTTTCTGAGTTGTTGATCCTCCATTAACATCACTCACTGGCCCACAAGGTTCCTTTTCCAGTCTTTCAGAGTTACTGTTGTCAATTTGATCCCATGTTCTTAAAAGAGCATAATGCTCAAGGTAGACCTTTTTTACTAGTTAAATTCAGGTATTTGATTTTGAGAAAATTTCAGAGGCTATTTTTGGTTTGATGTTTAAAAATTATCTCAGGGCAGTAGTTTCAGGGGTTCATCCAAACTTTTGGAATTTCTTTTCTTCATTCTTTCCCTTTTTGATCGGGTTTCTGCTATGGAATCTTTTTTATTAAAATGTTCAGTAATGATAGCCAAACATCCAATACTATTCTCGTGGCAAAAGAGGCACTTGTTAATGGAGACAGTTAGCCACCCATTACATACTCTCTTCTTAAACAACAGGAGACTCTCCTTCCTCCTCTGTTGTTCCAGGTGAATAGAGACCAATTGCTATACCTAGGATTTAATGGATCTCTTTTAATATAATAAATCCTAGTATCATATGACTTCTGGTGTGGCACTGTGGATCAGCACTGGACTGCGAACCACAACGTTAGTAGTTCAAACCCACCAGCTACTCCTCGGAACAGGGTCACTAAGAGTTGGAACTGACACAACAGCACTTAACAACAGTATCATGTGATTGACTTTTTATTTTATCAAGAATGCAATTGATTTTTATTTTACCAAATTACCTGTATATTTAAAATGTAACCAAATGCACAACTTTTTCCCTTAATTTGCTGAACATTTTTTAACGCATGACAATTTTTTTCCCCTTAGAGTAATGGTAGTAACAGGGGTGAAGATGTCTTTTGTGACCCTGAAGATGACTGGGAACCTGACATTACAAACGCACCAGCTTCTTCATTTTCTAAAAGGAGGTAAAGATGTTTTTGTTATTGGTTTTTATGTTCTTGGTATACCTATATATCATTTCCTTACTTTAAAGGAACTGTTGTCATGATGGATACATCCATGAAAGGAAGCCAGAAATGTCAGAGGAATACTATGTTGCTGATCAAATTACAGTTTAGGGCATTAAATTGTGTATCAGTCAAAGGAAGAAAAAAAATGTTCAGTATTTCATCATAGAAGTCTTATAAGCAACTTAGAATAGCATAAATCTAAATTCCTATAAAAATGAACAGTATTTATTATTTTAGAATTACTCTTTCTCAAGAACTTGGCATATTCTATGGTATTTTATCCTTATTTATAGAATTTTAAATACAGTCCATGGTAGGTGAGCTCCACAAAAAAATAAATCATGGGAATAGAGAACTTCTAAATATGACAGATGGTGTTTATTAACTAAAACATAAAAGACTTCTACAGTGAATAGATGCTTTTCAAGGAAAAACTAGTTTGGCTTAGACCTTAAGCACTTAGATTATAGAGAGGCAAAATGGTACAATGAAAAGACTTTGGTCTCTGGAACCAATTTGACCCTTTCGTTTGGCTTCTAAACAAATACTTCTTTGAGGACTACTCTTTGCTATATCCTGATGACACAGAGCTGAATAAAAAGTACTTCCTTTCTTCATGGACCAGGAATTGAGAAAACTAGTTTCAAGAACCATTGATATAGACCAGAAGAATTAGAGAGGAGAGTCAAGTTTTATATATATTTTAGAAACAGAATTAATAGGGCTTGGTGACTGGTTGAGGGACAGGAAGGGCTCAAGGATGTCTCTTGGGTTTATATTGGGTGACTGACTAGAGGAAAATGACATTCCTGGAGATGGAAGGTTAGGTTAGCTTCTTTTTTAACATGATGAATTTTGAGATTGATTCCTGATGTGGCGCTGTTGGATCAGCATTGGACTGCAAACCACAAGGTTGGCAGTTCAAACCTACCAACTGCTCCTCAGAAACCCTACATAGGGTCACTGTGAGTCGGAATCAACTTGATGGCACTTAACAACAGCAACAACAACAACAACAACAAGGGAACATGCAGGTGGATATTCAGTTCTAGAACCTTGAAGGGCAACTCGGAATTTTCAGGATGTGGCGGTGGCATTAGTACATCAACAGAAGCAACATTGTCGTTATCAAAAGCATCCTAAAAAAAAACATCCTACAAGGTTTTGCTAAGCATTATCTCATTTAGTCTTTGTTGTTGTTAAGTCCTGTTGAGTAGATTCTGACTCAGTAGAACAACCATGTACAGGATTTTCGAGGCAGCAAATCTTTGTGGGAGCAGAAAGCTTCACCATTTTCCCTCAGAGCTACTGAAGGGCACAAACTACCAACCTTGTGAGTCACAGTTCAGTGCTTATTGTACAGAACCACTGTGCCCACCTCGTTAGTCCTTAGTACACACCTATGAAGTAGGTGATGCCATTATCTCCACTTTATATAGGAAGAAACTGGGCTGATAAGAGGAAGACCTGGTTCTCAAACCCAGGCTTGAGCGACTTCACTGCCCTATTGGATTGCCTCTCTCTTGCATATGAAAGAAAGTTGTTGTTAAGTAGCAACCCTGTATAGGGTTTCTGTGGAAAGAATAGAATCTTTCTATTTAAATGGTTTTGTTTTGTTTTCCTTTGTACTTTTAAGCTTCAGCACCTTCAGCTACAGCTTCAGGCCTGTTCATTTTAAATGCATTTATACTTCCTTCTCTTCAAGAAGATTGTGCAAATCTTCTTGAAGAGATGGAACTACTTCGTATTAACCAACTCTTTCCCCTTTTTGTTGCCATCAAGTTGCTTGCAACTCACAGCAACCCTGTATGGGGTTTCCATGGAGCGGCTGGTGAGCTTGAATCACTGACCTTGTGTATCAATCCGCCTTCAGTCCAGTGTTTTATCCCACAGCTGTTTTGTTGGCTGCAATCCGCCTTTCAGTCCAATGCTTTATCCCACATTGGACTGAAAGGCGGATTGTTTTGTTTGCTGCATGCTGTTAAGCTGTAGTAAGAATAGCAAAGCATAATGAGCATTATCCAGAGAGAAATGTAAAGCATGTCCATTAAAGCAGAGCCAGGGTGCCCTGAGTGCTGTATGTAGTGCAAAGGATGCAGGTACGTGGTACTAGTGGTCAAGGCGAGTGACATATCTCTAGACTTTACTTTTATCATCTGTACAATGGAGACCATAGTAGATCCCTACTATGTAGGCTTTCTTGTGAAGATTAAGTGAGATCATGTGCAGAAAGTAGCTGCTGCTCCTGCTCCTACTATTGTGACCACACAATACACTGTATTGCATTGATATTTATTGATTCCTAGAGAAACATGCATCTGTGTGTATGTATACGTACATCTGATTGGCTGGTTCTGTTGCTCCGTGGAACCCTAAGACACCGGTCACAGTAGAAGTAGCAGAAGCCACAACTGCTTTATCTGTATAAAATATACCAAAATCCATAGGTCAGACAGCAGACTGGAGCCTCCTATAGGCTTGCATCTTCACGTCTATAGATCAGGTGATGAAAAGGGTACGGTCTATAAAGATCAGGAAGTTCTGCCGAAAATATAGATTGGAGGTAGAACACAACTACTGAAACTTCCTTTTCATCTGATTGGCTAGTTAATTTAGCTTGCATTATTGAACAGCAACTAGACTAGTATTTGTCAAACCAGTAGGAACCATAATCTAGCCAGGTTGACACATAAAATCAGTCATCAAAACCAGTGTTACCTTTAGCGTGGCACTGATGATAATGATGGTGTTGCAAAATTGTTATGAAGACTAGAGATAAAGCTTAGATGTGGTTCTGTGGGTTAATGCACTGGACTGCAAGGTCAGTTTGAACCACAAAGTCAGTGATTCAAACTTAATCAGCTGTTTCCTGGGAACCCTATACAGGGTCGCTGTGAGTTGGAACTGACTCAGTGGCATTTAACAACAACTACAGTGGGTGGGTGCTTAATAAATGTCAGCTGTTATTATTTGATGTTTAATATGTATCAAGTAAAGTTTAAATCTTGGCTTACATCTAATACCAGTAAACGCATCGTGATGTCTTCAGGAAACTTGTCGTAACTTCAAAATATAGTTCTCCTTTGGCACTAAAATGACCTAACGATGTTCTAGGGTGGATGGGTTTGGAATACTTAAGCCAATATAAGGTAACGTAAACTCTCCCAAATTGAAAACCAGACTTCTAAATTCATCAAATTTTTTTAGATTTTGGAATTATTGGGTTCTATTCTATGTATTACAAATAGACATAAACTTTGTGTACCTAGACCAGTGGATAAAAATGTGAGCATTAGAAATTAATGAGTATTAAAATTCTAGCCTATTGAATGTTGGTGATTCATGTCTTTATTTCCCCCTTGACTTTTAGGGAATCAACAGAGGTTAAAAATGTTATAGAAAAAAATTAAAACTTCTTTTCATATATTCTAAGATGTTAAAATTACATGTTTTCATTTGGCATAGATGTTTTAAGAATTTCCATAATTTTAAACTATCATATTTGAAAAAAAACAACAACAGTGATTTGCTCTTGGGCTAAGACCTTGTGTATGAAGTTTCAGCCTTGTAAGGATGTTTATGACAGAATTGCAAACTCAGAACGTCGACCTGTAATGGAAACACTGACAGACTCTTAATTATAGAACTGCTCCCAGAGAATGATATGCCACCGTTGTTCTGCAATAAAGTAGACATGTTTGGCTGTCTATAAATTTTGATATGTAATGTTGACAGTTAAGAGTAAATTTTTGTGAGGTTAAGTAAAAACTCTTTGAAGGGAATGTGATAGCATTTTCTTTCTTTGGGTTTAAACACTGTTGGACTATGATAGTGTTGAAAGGCTAACAGTTTTCTTCATTTGTAGTTATTGTCATAGTGTAGCCTGCCTTTCACCTAGAAGTAGAATACTGGAACCTCTGAGAATTGCTATTTCCTTTCCCTGCTACCAGTCATATTTCTGTGGTTTTCTTAAAGGAGTTCTTGGGGAAATTTTCTTTTTGCAACATTTAGGCTGCTACTGATGGATAATTTTGTTTAACAGTTTTTTTGTTTTTTTTTTAACAAATACTATTTTTCTTTGAGTGGTCAGAAGCTGTAGTGAGGTTTGTTAGGAAAAAGACTTATAAAGGATGTACTAGATTTGAATCTAGGTCATTGCTTCAGTACTTTTATTGACACAATGGCTACTGGAGTTGGATTTTAGAAAATTGTTAGATGAATAGTACTATGGAAGTTGGCTGCAGTTTCAGGCAACAGAAAAGATAGACTGCTCTTTTGAGAAGCAGTTAGAAAGAGTAGCAGCCCGACAGCCAGTCCATTCAAGGGAGGCATCTGAGTGTTTTTGTCGACTGAGGGAAAAGAGACAGCAAAGAGACTGAGGATACAGTCATTCCTCCGTTTGTGCTCCCGCTACACTTCCCAGTTGTTATGTTTTATACACTGTGTAGCAAATGTTTACTTAGATGCTTATTGCTGTCTAAAATCTTGCCCAGGGTAATTTGCTTGGGGGAAAAATGCAAGCTTCCTAAGTAGCATACAAAGTCAACCTCAAGCTGGCCACTGTACAGCGGCCAGCCACATGTCTTACTACTCTCATAGTCACTGCATTTTCTGTAGTCCTGGACCTCACTTGGTTCTTCGCGTGTGTAGTACTTTTGTAATCTTGGTCTTCCCTATCCAGGTCCTCATGTCTGAAACACTGTTGCTTGCTTCCCAAGCCTGACTCCCCATTTGCCTAACTCCTACTTAATGTGACTTTAGGGTCACTGCTCCTGATAGCAGCTGTTTACATGCTTCATACCGTTCTGTGCCCTCGTAACACTTGCCACTTTATTGTAATGATTTGTCTCATGTCTCTTATTTCCTCTGAACTGTAAACCCAGAGATCAGGTTTGCAGTGTTCACAGTTTCCAGGGCCTGTACATGGTGGTGATGGAGGTGGTGGTGTGTTATGGAGTCAGTTCTGACCATAGGGACCCTGTAGAGGATTTCCGAGGCTGTGAATCTTTACCAGAGCAGAAAGCCTCAGCTTTTTTCTCTTGCTTAGTGACTGGTGGATCTGAGCAGCCAAACTTGGAACCTACTACAGGGCTCCTTTGTACGTAGTTGTTATTGTCAAGTGCCAGTGAGTCAGTTCTGACTCATAACAGTCCTATACAGCAGAAGTGGGGAACCTTTTTTCTGCCAAAACTTAAAATACCATTTGCAGGCCATACAAAATTACCAGCCTAAAAATTAGCCTGCTATATATATTTAGTCAAACATTCAATGAACTTACCCCTAAAATGACAGCTGGTGTGGCGCTCTGGGCTAATGCGTCAGACTGTAAAGTCATTTGAACTGCAAGGTCGGTGGTTCAAGCTCACCTCCTGCTCCTTGGAAATGCTATGCAGGGTTGCTATAGGTTGGAATTGACTGGACAGCATTTAACAACAACAACAAAGTGGCGGCTGGAGTCCTGGTGTGGTGCTGTGGGATAATGCACTGGACCAAAGTCGTTTGAATAGCAAGGTCGGCGGTTCAAACTCACCTCAGAAAACCTTTCAGGGTTGCTATGAGTCAGAACCAGCATGAAAGCGCTTAACAACAACAGTGTGATGGCTGACCAGAGTCCTGGTGTGGCGTTGTACGAAAAGCACTTGACCACAAGGTCGATTTGAAAATGCAAGGTCAGTGGTTTAGACTCACCAGCCACTCCTTGGAAATCCTATACAGGGTTGCTGTGGGTTGAAACGGACTCAATGACACTTAACAACAACACCACCACATGTGATGACTGGAACTGTGGTTGCCTTGGCAGGGCCAGACCAAATGATTTTGTTGGCCTTATACGGGCTGCAGGCTGGGCGTTTCCTACCCCTGCTATAGAAGGTTTCCAAGGAGCAACTGGTGGGTTTGAATTACTGAGCTTGTGTTTAGCAGTCCAGTGCTTATCCTCCATATAGTGCCACATAGTAGTGCTCAGTAAATCTTCTGTTTAATTAATTAGCAATACTCTTAGTTAGGACAGTGCTTGTAATAGTACAAAGTTTTGTTCAGTGAACCACATTAATTTAAGTAGCCCTTAATGAAAATGTTTACGTGGAAAATGCACACCCATTTTCTTTAGAGAATTTTTAAACAAATATTCTTTCTTTTTTTCTTAAATGTTTTATTGTAAATTATGTGATAGTTTACATGGGAGAACATTAGTTTTACATTCATTCCATCTATATCATCTCATTGCCAT